TGCCATCTTGGCTGGCAGTTAATTTGCATATCGCCCTGATTAGCCAATGGGAAGGGTAGCAGTCGTATGCTAATTACCATGTTTCTCTTTTATTAGATAGGATTTGCTGCCTCTCCTATGAATGGTAATAAATAGGAAATTGCCAAAAGTGAGCCAGAGAAACAGGAAGAATAAGCTTTGTTAATCAATCCTGAAAAATCAAGAGCATCCTCTAGTTCTTTCTTTATAAGTTCCAGATCCATCATTGGTCTTCAGTTACCATTTTGTGCAAAACAGTGTCTTCAGCCTTAAGGGGGTGAACATAAGTTCAAGTTTCTTCCCTTATGGGAGAGAAAATGATTTGCCAGTGTTTCTGACATGACTAGAGCCCAACCATGTCTAGATTCATGCATTTAGTTGTGAACCCAAAGAAAAGCATTGATTTGGAATCATCTTAGGATGTCTGGTTGATGCAAAACTTATCCTGTATTTACAGGAAGGTATAGTTTATGTTCTCGCAGGTCTCGAGAGATACTCTGTTATGTTGGTTGGGTGTCCACTGAGCTCTGTCTTGTGCCTTTGGAGGCTGACTGCAAAGTCTGACACAATCACTCTTGGCTCCACTCTTGCTTTTCAGGGCTGGGGAGCTGAGTACCATCGCCAGGATGTCACGAGCACCCCTTGCTGGATTGAGATTCATCTTCACGGGCCACTGCAGTGGTTGGACAAAGTTCTGACTCAAATGGGCTCTCCACATAACCCGATTTCTTCAGTGTCTTAATAGTTAGATCTTAATCCCCACTTTTATAGAACAGATGCTGTTGCAGGCAGTGGCTTATATCATTTCAGATTTGCAACTAAAGTGTCTAAGTATATGTGTAAATACATATAATATATACTGTTCATCTATTTTATCACCATTTGTTGTCTGCTTTCTAGTTAAGCTGATGCCATTAGAAAAGCAGGTTTTTTTGGGCCTATGATGTAAGAAGTAGCAGCTTTATTTGTGGGAGGAAACAAAGAAAGGCAACTCTGTCAATAGTATTTAAAGGGTGTTGGCAGAATAAAAGGCAGCTTTAGTCAGCCATGTCAATATAAAGCAGGTTGTGTGGCCTACCAGAAAAATACAAAACTGTTTATATAGCAAAAATCGGGTACTAGCAGCACTAGAGTAAATAACGCTTTTAGACAAAATGTAGCAATCAAACTCATTTAATTTAAATGATTTCACGTTAGTACTATTGGCAAGAAAAAATAACAAGTTTATATAATCAATTATGTAAGATAAGACACATAAACTTTATTTCTGAAGTTGAAATACTTATACCTGGACAATTGTGCTCATATTAAGGGTTCATTTTAAACAAATTTAAACTGTGATTGGAAAAGAAACTGTGAAGCTGAAGTCATGTTCCCTCATACTCTACGACTGTAAAAAAGCAATGAGTCTAATATGGCAAGATAAATATGAAAATAGCATGAAATGAGCTATGTTCCCAAACTGTAAGACCAGAACTTAGTCCCAGAATCACCCAAGGAGATTCCTGCTTTCCACATAGGAAACGAGGCTCATGTTTTGATGGCTGTTCATGCAGGCAGTCCTGCAGACTTTTGAGTCTGCACAGGGAGCTCTAAGACCATGTGTGTAGGTCCTGTAGGAAGAAGAAGCAGGTAATAACAGGAGGGTTGGACAAAAGCATCATATGTTTACTTACACCTTCTCACATTCCCACATTAAAAGTCTCTGGGCGACGGCCCTCCTTTTGCCTTATTTACCTCACTTGTTGGCAAATATTAACTATTTATAGGTTACTAAAACAATGGTGAAGATTTTTGAGAAAATCAAGACACGTTACTGAGATCAATTTCTGAGTTATTTAACTTAGTGTCTCTATTGAATAAATTATCTACTGGTCAAATCTGGTAGGCTCTTATAAAGCTAATTCTCACACCTGGAAATAACTTCCCAAGTAAAGTGATAATAATTTCATAATCTCTACAATTTCTGGGGAACAGTAGTATTGAATAATAGGACATTTAAAAAACACACAATATTAAAAAACCTGTTCTTATTTACCCTTGGATAATAAAGAGGAAAATCCCCCAAATTTCTAGGTACTCATATATGTAAATATAAATCCCACCCACTAAACACTGCATTGCTTAAAAAAATATATTACACCCTTTTAAAAATGTATAATTTAAGAAGGCAATTATGCTTTTAACAGATGGTACTTCAGTAATCCAAGAGGTTTCTTCATTTATACACTCTATCTCAACTCTTTGTAGCTTAGTGAACACACTAGTTATTTCTCATTAAATTATATTCAAGGTAGAAATGATGTGAAAAAGATGAGTGACTTACTACTGTCACCTCTTATGACTAGTGTTATATAATAGAAACTTTCATATATACAGTAGAAAATAAATATTACATTTTACATGAAGACTAGGTAACCCATTTAGTGTAGTTCATTGTTCATCAACTATGTATTGTGCATCTGTATATGCCAGGTACAATGTTAGGTGCTGTAGAATCAAATGTAAACAAGAGACAGCCCAGCCCTTGGGTTGAGAGTCTAATATTATATCTATTTGTGTAGACATCCTCATAATCCAGAACTTGCAAAACAAAACAGAACATACCATCTTCCTTAGCTTAAAAAGTGTATTGGTTTCTTAATTATCTCTTTTGAATCATTTCCCTTCTCTTCTGATCATTTAGGTAATGGATGAAGGCTTCCTTGGGTAAATGCTATTTTTCTTCTGTCTAAAAAAGTAGGTTTTCTCCTCCTGTTCCTTCTACTTTCTAATAGTTTTCCATCTCCCCTTTTCCCCGGAAAGGGCATTAATATGGTTGGTGAATCTTTCTCATAAGTGTATCATTCCATGAGAGAACAGCAAGTATGCCACATGGTTTTTGATCCAGAGATCAAATATAGCTTTCTTTCTTTTTTTAAAAAAAAAACCCTTTATTGTTCACATTATTACAGTTGTTCCTCTTTTTCCACTCATAGCTCCTCTCCACCCAGTTCCCACCCCACCCTCTGCCCTTACCCCCGCCCACTGTCCTCATCCATAGGTGTACAATTTTTGTCCAGTTTCTTCCCACACACCCCACACCCCTTTCTCCCTAGCCCCCGAGACTAGTCAGTCCACTCCCTTTCTATGCCCCTGAATCTATGATATTCACCAGTTTATTATGTTCATCAGATTATTTATTAACTTTTTTTTTAG